AAAGGTGTGCACCAGGGTTGTATTCTTTCACATTTATTCAATCTACATGCTGAGAAAATAATCTGTGAAGCTGGATTATATGAAGAAAAACATAGCATCAGGATTGAAAGATGACTCATTAACAACCTGTGATATGCAGATGATACAACTTTACTTGCTGAAAGTAAAAAGGACATAAAATACATACGGATAAAGATCAAAGACCACAGCTTTAGGTATTGGTTGCATCTCAGCATGAAAAATAAAACAAAATCCTCATCACTGGACTAATAAACAACATCCACATAAATGGAGAAAAAAATGATGTTGTCTAAGACTTTATTTTGTTCAAATCAACCATCAACACTCATGGAAGCAGCAGTCAAGCAGCAAATCTGCTGCACAAGACCTCTTTAAGTGTTCAAGAGCAAAAATGTCAGTTTAAAGGACTGTGTGCATGATCTAAGCCATGGTATTTTCAATAACCTCACATGCATGTGAAAGTTGGACAGCGAGTAAGGAAGACCATAGAAAAATTGATGTATTTGAGTTATGGTGCTGGAGGAGAATATTTAAAGCACCAAGGACTGTCTAAGGAACAAACAGATCTGTATTGGAAAAAGTACAGCCAACATAGATGACCAGAATTCTGGATGACCAGATTTTTATCTCTTATACTTCGTATATATTATCAGGAGGGAACAGTCACTGGAGAAGGATGTCATGTTTGGTAAACTGGAGGGTCAGAGAAAAAAAAGAAGAGCCCCAACCAGATGGATTGGCACAGTGGCAGCAGCAATGGACCCAGGCGTAGGAACAACTGTGCCAACTTTGTAGTTCAAAATGACTTTGCAGTCCAGTGCATTGGCTCACAGTTTTCTTCAAGAAAGACCAATTGGTAGAAAAGGACATAATGCTTGGTAAGATAAGGTTAGTGAAAATGAGCAAACCCTGTGATGGGACAGATTGACACAATAGCCAGGACAATGGACTAAATTATACCAATGATCATGAAGATGGCTCAGGACCAGGCAACATTTCATTGTTTGATATCCATAGGTGCCCTGAGTCATATCAAACTCAACAATGTCTAACAATTGTTTAATTAAATGTCTCATCTGCTCTGTGTGAACTCCTCAGCCCATGGGCACTAACCTAGCCCCTGAGGACTAGGGCTGAGAGTGAAGGGGTCTGAAGTGCAGGGAGGTGTGTGTGAACTCCCAAACTTGCAGCTAGGACCCATCTGGCATAACTTGGATGGCTAGTTGACCAGAACTTGAACTGAGGAATATAAAGATGTTTGATACTGAGAACAAGTGTAAATTGCCACAATCTGACGAGATACACTGCTACCTATGAATGCAATGACTCAGATTTCCAACTCTAATGAAAGAATTCTTCATGTCAACGAAGAACCTTGTTTCCTCAATGTACTGGATGTATTGTTGTTGTTGTTGAGTGCCGTCGAGCCGATTCTGACCCATAGCGTACTGGATGGATAGAGATGGACTATTTAGACACTGGCTACCATAAATAGGGGGGCTATAAAGGAAGGACTGACTTGACAGCACTTTACAACAACAAACAAAGGCACAAAGTGGCTGATTTACTAGCTTTCATGAGCATGCTTAGTTATAGAATGAGTAGATTCCTTACTGAATAGTTTCCCTCTTTTCCAGATGGATCTGGTGAAAAAGGATGGAGGACGATGGTGACAGAATTTTATGACTCAATTTTGAATAACTGTTAGCAGGATTAATGATGATGTTCACAAGTGTAATTGTAGTAGATGTATAACTCAAAGGGGGGAATAGTTAATCTTTCTTTTTAGGAAAAGATGATCCATACAATCAAGAAGGAAAAGCATGAGTGGAGTGTGAGATTCCTACCTAGAAAAGCAGCGACAGCAAAGACGGTGGCTGTGTGGGCAGGAGGCTGGCAGCAGAATGTGTCCTTTGGACATTTAAATGAATATATATTTTTTTGTTTTGTAAGTGGACATCAAATGTTTTGTCTTATTCATCTGTGAAACATAAGATGTAAACGGGGAGCCACAGGGAAGAAGTGGGATAAATGTAGTTGCAGAGGAGACGGCAATCATTGAGATGAAACAAGGTGAATGGTTTGTTGAATACAGAGCTGACGATCTTGTTTATAAACCTTCGTCCAATTAAAAAATCATCATATTCCAGCCCCCTTCTGAAACAATCTTCTCTTTGTCAAATCTATCGGTGACATTCTTAATGTCATCCAGGCATGAAATTCTCAACTTGTATTTTTCCTTCCCTCCAGGCAATAGGCATTCAATAAATGTTTGTTGAATTAATAATTCTCCAATATTTTCTTAAACTTGTCTCTCCATTCTTACTGCCTCAACCTTGATCCAAAGCCTCATTCTCCTTTGCTTATTAGATCTCTACAATAGCCTGCAAGATTCTTCCTGCCTAATGAGGGTTCCATTTAAGTAAACTAAGGGGTGTCAGCAAATTCCTTTTTTTCTATTAAGAGCTACTTATCTCTGCCATTGTATCAGGAAGGCAAACAAACAATTTATAAAAAAAATGGATGTGGCTATATTCTAACAAAATGCTATTTACAAAATCATGCGGTGAGTCAAATTTGGCTCATGTACCATAGTTTGCTATCTCCTAAAGTAGATAAGCAATATTCTCAAACCAAAACTTTTCTTGTCCCTGCTATTTAAATATAGAACCATTTGGTAAAGAAAAGGCTAATGTTTCCTTTTTTTTTTTTTTTTTTTTCATAAAACACAGGTTGCCAGTTAGAAATAAAGATTAATTACTGAAGGTATGTTGTGCATTACTTTCAAGACCTTATTTTCCCTTTTAATTTATGAACCTTATAGAAATGAGTTACTGGAAATTACATCAGTAGTATTGCTAAGGCTGTGATCTAAGCAGGACAAATTAGAAAAATTGGCAGTCAAGTAATCTTTCTGTCTTTTATGGAAAAATAAATCAGGAATGATAGAAGTTGCCAATAAAAAAAGTTTGATTCAATGAAGTAGAGTAGGATGACACTGATGGGCTTTTGATTTCAGTAAGTGGGAAGGGCCTAGGAATCTGCTAGCTAATGGCAAAAATAAAACAGCTTGTCCCTTCTAGACCTTGAGATGAACTGTTTATAAAAGAAGATATGAAAGAAAATCAAGAGTGGTAGGCAGTTCAGAATCTTTGTATTGTTCTAGACTTCTTCCCATTGTAAAATGGGAGATGGATATATTGATAACTTGAGCCCATATGCCACCTAACTATCTAATCTTCACCTTCCCTCACACCCATATTTCCAAACAAGCATGGGAATGGCCAGAATTTAGTAACTGAACAATATGTTCTTTACAAATCCTAAAAAGGAAGCGTTATTACATTAGAAACAATGCTTATGTGCTTGTTTTTCTGTTGTTGTGTGATGTCAAGTCAGTTCTGACTCATAGCGACCTTGTACAGGATTTCTGAGAATGGCTGGTGGGTTTGAATAACTAATCCTGCAGTTACCAGTCCAGTGTTTACCCTTTAGCACCACACTAGGGTCAATTTATGTGCTTAACTTCTTGTTAAATAGCCTTTTTAAAAAATGAAAAAATTTTTAACAACTTCCTTTTACATACTAAAATAAAATCCAAATTCCTAATCATTATGACCCACAGAGTTCAGCATATATGATATTTCTTGGACATGACAACAGACTGAATGACTATAGGTTTTACTTAAGTGCTGTTGAGTTGGTTGTGCCTCATAGTGACCCTGTACAGGGTTTCAGGGATTGACTGGTGGATTTGAACTGCCAATCTTGTACTCGGCAGTCCAGTGCTTACCCTACAGCACTACACTAGGACTCCCCGCACCAGGACTCCTGTATGACTACAGTCTGTTGCAATCACAATGGTCACTTCTGCTCTCCAAACATAATAAGTTTGTTTTTGTTTTAGGGGCTATTCATCTACTATTTACTCTGTAGTATCTTTACATGCTCATTTCTTCAAATCTCAGTCCAAATGAAACCTCAACAGAGGCCTTCCCTGGCCATGCAACTTAAAATAGTCTCCATCACTATAAATTTGTTGTTGCTAACTGCTGTCGAGTTGGTTCCAACTCAGAGACCCTGTATAAGGTTTCTAAGGAGTTGGTGAACGTGAACCACCGACCATGCAGTTCAAACTGACCTTCCGGTCCAGTGCATTATCCCACAGTACCACACCAGGACTCCATCACTATAAATTACCTTGTTTTATTGTTTTCCAGTACTTATACCACAATATGAAATTGCATCGCTCATTTATTTATTTTCTACATGCTTTCTCCAAATATATATGAGACACTGTGCCTGTTGGTACCACTGAATCTCTCACACCTAGTAGGCATGAGAGATTCAGCACATAGTAGGAGCTGTAGGATAAGCATTGGACTGCTAACTGCAAACTTGGTGGTTCAAACCCACTAGCCACTCACTGGGAACTCTATACAGGGTCACGATGAATCAGAACTGATTCAATGGCACTAAACAACAATAACAACAGGCACTCAGTAAATTAAATATTAAGTAATAAATATTTGATTCATATTGTTGTTATGTGCTGTGGAGTCGGTTCCGACTCATAGCGACCCTGTACAGGGTTTCCGAGGCTGTAAATCTTTACGGGAGCAGAACGCCTCATCTTTCTCCTGCTGAACAGCTGGTAGTTTCAAACTGCTGACCTTACGGCTCGCAGCCCAATTCATAACCACTAAGCTACCAGAGCTCCTTCTGATTCATATTAGGCTGTGCTTTGTGAAACTGTAGAAAAATCTTAAGACTCCTCAAGGTGGCTGTAAAGACAATAGGATTCTTATAGAGGAACCTGTAATCCTACATGTTGAAACGAACAGTCTAATTTTTATAGAGTATCTATAGAATAATAATAATAATAAAAAAGAGGAATATTTAAATATAGCTGTGGATTCATTCAGAATTTGGGTTAAATAACAAAAAAATAGAGCTGTTAAAAGAGAACTTAAACTCACCTGAGGGTGTGTCGTGAGCAGGGAGGATCCAGAGACATATGACACTTTCTCATAATGAGACTGGATAATCCAGTTGGAGCTCCCAAGGGCATAGCCAGAGCTTAGAGGAGTCACCTGCACCGCACCAAAAAGCTCCTGAAAAAAAGAGCCAGTTGCAAAGTGACAACACTGTTTCAATGTAATCAGGTTGGTTTATTAATTGTTATTACTCTGATGAAAGGACTATCTGCAGATCTACAAAAATATTGTTCACACTCATAGGAATGAAATTTGTGTAAAGCAGAGTTGAAAATGCATGTAAAAAGCAGTTAAGTATTTTCTTCTTATAATATGGACTTAGCAATTCTTTTTGTAAGGTAAATTAAAAGGTATTATTATGGGGGGAAAATTTTAAACACTCCCACAGAAAGGTGGTATGATGAGGATTAAGTGAGGTAGTCATACCAGATATGTTTGTAGGAAAAAACAACACAAAAATAGGTTTCTCAGTAGCAGATACAGAAAGCAAGCCTATAATTTTTCCATATCACCGTCAGAGTTTACACGCCCCCTTCAAGTCACTAGGCACTCAGGACTAACTCACTGAAGGTAGAGACAATGTATTCTACCTTCAAATAGACCAAAGAACCAAATACTTTGGCTTGCCCTTTTCATTTCAGGCTAAGTGTTAGGCTCTTCGTATTTTTTTTTTTTTTTTTTTAAAGGTTTTTATTGCGGATTGAGTGAAAGTTTACAGGGCAGATCATCAGTTTTACATTCAACAAATCATACACCTTTTGTTTCATTATAATCCCCTCCATGTACTATCAGTTAACACTATCATCATCTATTCACTTCAGCTCTCTCTCCCTTTTTTTTTTTCTAAACACTCAGGCATATAAAATAATTTGCACCACCTAAGGGCACATTCTGCAAGTCTGCCTCCTGGCTGCCAGCTCTCAAGTCCTTCTCTTCCCATGAATCTAGAGTCTTCAGCTGCTCTCCGATTCATGAGCCCATCTCTGCCTCCATCTCTGGTGTCGCTGCTTCTCTGGATAAAGTCCCACATTCCACTTGTGTTCTTCTCCCGTGATGATCCTAGGGTCCTCTGTTTCTGGACTCTACACTCTCCTGTTTTTGTTACATAACTTCTACCTTTACAACCGTGACAGTCATAATTAGTCATGATAACAATTACTCACTATAGAATCATAAAAGTCTTATCCCCATCTCCTTTCACCAGACCCATCTAGACAAGATGAAAAGTATTCAGCGGGGACTCTTTCTTTCCCCACATACTATTAAACTAAGCTTCCCCTTGAAACCCTGTAAGCCAGTCACTTCGTGCATTCATTGCCCCCTCATTTTAGGTAGCCAATATCTAAGTCGCCCATCCCTATGTACCCTGTGTACAGAGAGGATAGCATTGATACCTGATGTGAAGACTCCTTCCCTCTCTGTTGGTATTTAGAGTTACTTTCTCCATGAGTACAGGTCAAATTCCTTATATTGTAGCAATTTACCCTCATTTCCTTTATCAAAAATGGTTTTATTCTTTTGTTTTTATCTTCCTCTAGTCAAGTTCTGATTATCAAGCCATCGAGGCTAGGTCAAATGGATACTATCTGCAAGTTTGGGTGTTCTTGTGCCTCTCTTCACTTCATATCAGCCGGATGCTTCACTCTCAGTTCTAGCTCTCTGTGGCTATGTCCTTGTTCATGGGCTCAAGTGTCCCCAGCTCTCACCACACCTGGGCCAACTAGCCCTTTCTCTTCTCTCTCTCATCTCCAGGTTAGCGGGAGTCTGTGGAACATGGTTGAACTCAGCCCATTTCTTTATTGCTGCCTTTTCCCTCACCAGTAGACCAACATAGACACCAGCAAGTTTACATGTCAGCTCATGTGTTCCCTTTCAGTTTCAGTCTTAGAGGGGGGTTTGTCCTGAAGAAACTTGATTGCTTGCCTAGGCTCTTGGTTTTTCTGTTCTAAATGATTCTGGGCACAAATTAACAGAAATGGGAACTTTTATGATTTAGGTACTTTCCAGAATGCTTTGGAGTCCTGGTGTGGTGCTGTGGGTTAATGCGCTGGACTACAAAGTCAGTTTGCGCTGCAAGATCGGAGACTCAAGCTCTCTAGCCATTCCTTGGAAACCCTATACAGGGTCGCTATGAGTCGGAACTGATGTGACGACACTTAACAACAGATTGCTTTATCATCTTTTTATACTCTCCATTTCCTAATTTCTTGTCTAAAATCTGGGAAGTAGTGCCCACTGCTCTACTGTGAATAGGGTGACATGCTTTTCTCCTGACTCATTATATGCTAGCTAGGTATACAGAATATGAGGGTTAGGAAAGAGTACCAATAAAAATCTTCTGAGCTTAGCCCTGAGAGAAACGTAGAAAATCACAGGTGATTTTTTTTTTTTTTTTTTGCTGGTAAGTGTGTTACTACTGTCTTTTCATATTATACCAGTAACAAGATCCATAGGCTGAGTGGATTAAAAAAAGGAAGCTACAGGCATCTTTCAATGAACAACAATAACATTTAAAGCATCTCTGAATCACTTGGGTCATGTCAACACTCACTATTTTCTGGGAATATCCCACCAGCTGGATTTTACTAAGGGCCGAGTTCACCTCCTGCATCGTATAACATCTTCTCCAAGTTGATACTTCCACTGCATCCTTTAGGGGAGAAGGCAGCAGCCTGAGAATGCAGAACAATGCCAGTTACTAGCTGGACATTTCTTTATCTTACAGAGCGTTTCTTTAGAGTAATTTGTACATTCCATCTAAATTGTCCAACTTATTAGTAGCATTTCTATATGACATGTCCCATTTTCTTGCTTGTTTATAAAAGATAAATGAAATAAACTTTACTGATAGATCTGAAAAACTATCAAAAAAGAAATAGTTGAACATACACAGGGCTAGGCATAATAAAGACCAATGCATGATTTGGGTTCATTGAGACCAGCATCAGGGTGTGTATCCCTTAAAACAAACAAATAAATAAACAAAAATATATCATCAGATGATCAGAGCTCAACTAGAAGAAGAAAGAAGAGGAAAAAAAGAGTAATCTGATACAATCTGATGAACTTGGCTTACACTTATGGATGCAGTAGCTCAAAAGAGGGAACAAATCTTTATAGCAAGGATCATTCCCACCCCCTCCATCCACAGAGTAGCCAAGGATGGGCAACTTGGACATTGGCTACCTAAAAAGGAGGGGTTACAAAGGCAAGAAGTGACTGGCTTATAAGCTTTCAAGAGGAAGCCTAGATCCAGAGGACATGGAGGAAGGTAGAATATCTCCACTGAGTAGTATCCAATCTATCTGGGCGGGACTGATGAAAGAAGATGCAGACAGGTCTCTTGTGATACAATAGTGAATAATAGTTATGAGTACTGATTGTGAGAATTGGAAATGTAAAAGTAGACTTTTAAAGGTAGACGTTTTGTAGCAAAAGGAGGGGAGTGATTGACTTTGCAGTCTAGCTGTGGAGGTCCCTGAGACCATCAAGGGAAAAGAGCAGAGTGCGAGACCCTACCCAGAGAAGTAGAGACGCCAGAGATGGAGGCAGAGACAATGACGTGGAGAGATGGAGCAGCTGGGGGCTCTAGACCCAGAGAGGGATAGGGGCTGTGTGCTGACGACTGGGGCACAGGCTTGCAGGATATACCCTTTGGTTGGTTGATGATTCATGGAGGGGATTATAACCATGGCAAGGAAATGATATACGATAGGATGAAATGTAAAGCTAATGTTCACCCATGTAAGCTATCACATAATTCACAATAAAACATTTATATATATATATATATATCATCAGAAAAATATTTTATCATTTGTTCCAACAAAATCAGAAATAGGCGTGGAAATGGTGACCTCCCTCCCTCACATTCACTGTACAATGGAGATCAAGGCACTTCCAATGAACTGAATGCATACATTAGCCCTGGCTCGCAATAATGAAATACCATGGAACAAGTGCAATGGGCTTCACATACACGCAGACATACACACTTCAAGATAAAGACAGTGAGAAAAGAGACAACAGCAAGAACACTTTAGAAAGTGGAAAGTAGACAGACAAATGACTTAGCAGACCCAGGAAAGTTCAATTTAAGTAATTTAGTTGCACAATCTATAAAAAGCTCAGAAACTGGAAACAATAATTATGTCTGGAAGTGAGGTTAACATTGGGCCTAAAAACAAAGAGGATTTTTAAAAAATGTGATTAAGAAGTTTGTAGTTAAAGTGGCATTGATTCGGTTCCGACCCATAACAACCCTTTATAGGGTTTCCAAGAAGTGGCTGGTGATCTTGAACCATCGATCTTGTGGTTCAAACTGACTTTGCAGTCCAGTGCTTTAATCCACAGCACCATACTAGGGCACTGATTAAGAAATAGAGCCTTCCAAACGTCCTCACCCATTACATACAGCTTAGCAACCATCCTTCTCCTCATAAGTATGCCACCAGTGAGTATTCTCTGGAGATAGTAAGAATGAGAATCTGGACTAAGGGTAACAACAGAGGTAGCCTTCTTAACCCTTTCAAGACTGAATTATTTTCTGCTTTGAATTTTTTGTTGCTACCATGTGTTTTTGTTTTCAATAATGGAAGGTATGTTGAAATCAAGCAAAAAACCCCACAAATATTGTCTTTTGTTGTAATGTGGATTTTGACATAATTATATGGGACACATACATCCCAAGTGGACTCCAATGATAGGATTGGTGGGATGAGGCATGGTTTTTCAGATTCATGCAATTATATAGGAGCCTGCCCAGTGGCAGTATGCACTAAACTGGGATAGCAGCTTCCCAAGAAACCTAAGAGGCTGAAAATGTTGGTGGGTGATACACATTGGAAGGGCCGTGAAGGAAAGCTACACTTTAAGTGCTGAGGACAGCTTTTTTTCTTCTACTAATGGCTCCCAGTACACTGACATCTGTGTTTATACTCTCCAGGACAGGAAACTGGAAAAGGCTTCTCTGAAGAATTCGGTCAGCCCCAAAGCAAAATATAAGCTAAAAGATACTGGCACTCAGAGTTGAAAAATAAATGGCCCAATCCACAGACCTTATCATGAAGTCTAGTATTAAACAAGCTCTACACATGGTGGTGGTAGTGATTGTGTGCTGTGGAGTTGATTCCAACTCATAGTGACCCTGTATAGGATTTCCAAGGCTGTAAATCTTTATGGGAGCAGAAAGCTTCATCTTTCTCCCACGGAAAGGCTGGCAGTTTCAAACTGCTGACCTTGAGGTTAGCAGCCCGACTAGTAACCACTACGCTACCAGAGCTCCTTCTACTCATGGTATAGTGTTTTAGATATGGGCCAGTGACCAATGAATGGAAAGTTTCTAAAATGGAAAAGACCAAAACAAATGAGGAAGAAGAGAATAAGAGGAAAAAGGCAAGTAGAAGAAAACTTAAAACAAGGAAACACAAAACTACTATTGTTCTTATATCTAATAAATGAGAAGCGACTACTAGTTAAAAAAGAGAATAAAAAAGAGATCTTGGAATTTAAATATAATAACATATAAACAATAAAAGGAGTCCTGGTGTGGCGCTGTGGATTAATGCACCAGATTGCAAACCTGTTTGAACTGCAAGGTCGGAGGTTCAAGCTCACCAGCTACTCCTTGGAAACCCTGTACAGGGTCGCTATGGGTCGGAATCGACTCGACGGCACTTGACAACAAAATACAATAAACGTATACCAACAACCCCTGTTGACCTGGAGATGAGAGAGAGAAGAGGAAGGGCTGGTTGGTCCAAAGTATGATGAGACCTGGGGACTCCTGAGCCCATGGACAACGACATAGATAGGGCCAGAGCTGAGAGTGAAGCATCCAGCTGATAGAAGTGAGGGGAGACGCACAAGAATGCCCAAACTTGTAGCTAGTACTCATTTGACCTAGCTTCAATGGCTGGATGATCAGAATCGACTAGAGGAAGATAAAAAAACAACTTTTTGATAAAGGAAACAAATATAAATTGCTACAATTTGATAAACTTGATTTATATTTATATATTATATATAAATATTTATATAGTAGCTGAAAATACCAACTGAAAGGGAAGGAGTCTTCACATCAAGTATCAATCCTATCCCCTCCTTATACTGGGTAGATAAGGATGGGCAACTTAGACACTGGCTACCTAAAATGGGGGGCCTATAAAGGCATGAAGTGATTGGCTTACAAGTTTTCAAGAGGGAGGTTAGTTTCTGAGTGTGCGGGGGGAAGATAAAATCTGACTGAATAGTTTCATGTTGTCTAGATGGGTATGGTGAAAGGCGATGGGGATAAGATTCATTTTATTCAACACTGAGTAATTGTTATCATGACATATTGTGACTATCACAACTGTAAAGGTAGAAGTTTTGTAACAAAAAGGGGAGAGTAGTTAATCTTACATTCCAGGAACAGAAAACCCTAGGACCATCAAGAGAGTAGAACAAGAGTGGAATGTGGGACCCTATCCAGAGAAGCATCGACACCATGAGATGGAGAGATAGAGCAGCTGAGGACTCTAGGCTCATGTAAAGAAAAAAGCTGCATGCTGGCAGCCAGAAGGCAGGCTTGCAGAATGTGCCCTTTGGTTGTTTAAATGATTATATATTCCAGAGTGCTTCTGCGTACATTCCCACCCCCACCCCCACCACCCCAAACAAAAAAAACCCCAGAGAGAATAGAAACAAATACTATTGAGTGATGCTGCATGGAGGGGACGGTAATCACTGCAATGAAATGAAGTATAATAGGATGTAACACTGGTGTTCTCCCATGTAAACTATCACTTAATTCACAATAAAAACTTAAATAAAAAAAAAGTACACTAACAAAACATATAAAAATTTCAAAAGTTAAAAACATAAGCATTAAAAATATACAAGACATGGAAAAAAACCAAAAATTATAAAAGCTATAAATGAAGCAAGATAATTTAAGAAAGAATTAAAAAGAAAAGAATGCATCATTTCAGAAATGAAGACTAAACCAAAATAAACACAAGGATGCATTAAAATAACAAATAATATTGTGGTAAAAATAGAAAGAAAATTAAAAATAAAGAAGAAATGAAGAGCTCCAAAGAAAGTAGCAAAACTAAAGATCGGCAAAAAAGATCAAGTAACTCACAAATAATAAACCCAGTGTACTGAGTCAATTGCACCTCATAGTGACCTATAAAACGGAGTAAAACTGTTCCAGAGGGTTTATGAATCTATAAATATTTACAGAAGCACACTGCCTCATCCAACTCCCCCTAGGTGGGTGGTACATTCGAACTATCAACCTTCTGGTTGTGCCACAAGGACTCCTGTACAAACAACAGGTACACTTGTGGGCACTGTGGGTTAATGAGCTGGACTGCAAAATTGATTTGAACCACAAGATCGGAGGTTCAAGCTAACTGGCCGCTCATCAGAAACCCTATCCAAAGTCACTATGAGTCGGAACCAATTAGATAATCTTTAAAAACAACAACCACAGAACCTAAGGGGGGAAAACAACCCAATCAGAACATAGGCTAAAAATTTTAAGTAAACTGCGATGAAATATAAAGCGATCTCAAATTATACATTGAAAGAATATATTGTACCTGAGGATATTAACCTAGAACAACTAACACCAGACATTCTAGGAATATGCCTAGACTACTGTGGTGAGGTGATTTACTTGATA